GAGATAAGTATACATGTTGTAACATGGTAGTCTGCCACAGAATGAGGAAATACTGAATGTAAGAAGATTAAAGCATTAGTAAGATATGTGTCGTGTCCTAGTGAGAGAAGAATTTCAGAAAGTCTTTGCAAGGAACCAAAGGAACATTTGGCATTTGCTTAAAAAGGGTAGCTATGTAGTCCAGGAATGTGTCACGTGGCACAGAAAGTTAATGAAACAATGCTGTCACTACCGTGATCAGATGATTAGCATGTCATTGAAAGCCACAAGAGTAGGGGAAAACAATGGTTTTATTTTATTTTTATTTTTAAAGATTTTGTTTATTTGAGAGAGCGAGCGAGAGAGCACAAGCAGGGGGGAATGGCAACAGAATGAGAGGGAGAAGCAGACTCCCCATTAAGCAGGGAGCCCCTTGAGGGACCCAATCCCAGGAACCTGGGACCATGACCTGAGCCAAAGGCATATGCTTAATGACTGAGCACCCAAGCGCCCAAGACAACGGTTTTAAATATTGAGCACTTTATATGTGTCTCTTTTTTTTTTGTCCTAGGCACTTTTTTTTTAATTTTTAAAAAAATTTTTTTAAAGATTTTATTTATTTATTTGACAGGGAGAGACACAGCGAGAGAGGAAACACAAGCAAGGGGAGTGGGAGAGGGAGAACCAGGCTTCCCGTGGAGCAGGGAGCCCAATGCGGGGCTCGATCCCAAGACCCTGGGACCATGACCTGAGCCGAAGGCAGACGCTTAACGACTGAGCCACCCAGGTGCCCCTGTCCTAGGCACTTTATATTCCTGCATAGATTGAGGGTATGGTTATTTTACAGTGACTTAAAAAAAAAGACCAAGAAATAAATTGTGAGAAACAAGCAAAATAGGAACAGCCAACAGTGTTTTTAAAGTATGTACTTAGCATTCATAAGTAATTATTAAGCAAAAGGAATTCAGAGTCATAAAACTCTGGGATACATTGAACAGTAATTTTTCCTCTTGGAGATTTATAGTACCTTAAAGCCTTTGAGGAGCTTTCCAGAAAGAAATCAGCTTAATGGTATTTACCCACATTTATCAAAGTGTTTATCATATAGCTAAAAAGAGTAAAGAAAAATGAACCTAACACAAATGGCTTAGCCATGTCTACTCCTGAAAGAGATGGTAACCATCAGGCTTCTTATTTTCCTATATGTCTTGCTGGATGTGCCAAGAAAAAAAGGCCCTGGCTGCTTCTTATGTGCTCCTTCTCTAAGGTTTATATTTGCAGTGGTCAGTGCAGCGGGGGGAAGAGGAGGGTTAAGGGAATGTCTCACTCCCATCCCCAAACAAAAAGCAGCCTTGCTTACTGTTTACTCTCAGAGTGGTGGATTGCTGAAACTCTGTGTTGCTCAGCTGGGGTACAAACCCAGCTAAGTAGTAGCAACTGCCACAGAGCCCATGTGAGCTGGAAAGCCTGAAATATTTTCTGGCTTGTCCTTTACAGGGAAAGTATGCTGATTCCTATATTAGTAGCTTAAGCACATTTTCATCGGTGATAAATACCTAAATGCATATACATAAAACTGAGTCACACATGTAACGTTAATGTTTAGAAGTGAACCCTACAATTAATAAAACTTTGAGAGTTTTTGTTTGTAAACATTTCTACAATGTGGCAGTGAATTAAACTTGTTGATCATAAAGGTTTCTCCCATTGAAGGGTGTCAGTGTTTAAACCCACACATCAACTTGCCCATTTCATACAGCTAAATTTAGGGACCTCCCCTTCCTCTAGAGATCCAGGGATTTTTCTCTCAATGTTTCCCATGATAGACCCTGCTAACTATTCATGGCCTTTGGTCTACACAGATCTTGGACCCGTCTACTTTTTCAGCCAGTTCATTCTTTTTCAACCAAATAATTTCAGGCAACTACCATCAAATAGCTGCTAAAAGAAACTTACTTGCCATCTGGGCCTTAATGTGCATATACTATTTGTAATTTGTTGTTTATTTAGCAAGACTGTTAAATATTTTCTTATTTTGCATGCTGAGTTACTCTAAACAAACTCGTTCATTGTTTTTTTAGTCCCAATAGAAGAACTATATAGTGTTGTGTAGGGAACTTCTTTGATGCAGTAGCATCCTCTGAGAAGATGGCCAGGAGCTGTCCCACAGTCATGGAACAGACCATCTCAGAGAACTTCAGCTGATCAAATAACATAATTTATCCATTTAAAATGCACAGTGAGTTATGAAAAAGAGATTGCGTAGGTTTACAAAGTTAGGACAGAGTGGAAGCCCCACTATACCTGAATCCTGTGCTGTCGCAACAGCCTTCCCTGCTGATGACGATGAGAGTAAGACCAGAGTTGGGGTTTGAGCAAGGGGGGTCCAAAATATAGAGGGTGCTTGGTGTCAAAATCCACTCTTGTTGTATTAGAGAGACACACAGGGGCAAATATGTCTAGCCACTGCTGTAGAGAACCAGGGACCTGATAGACAGCCACAGCTTTGGTGTTTGCTTTTTTCTGTATGTTACTGGCAGGGGAAAGTGGGATGCGTCTGTGTCTCTTAGAAATGTCTTATACACACTTAGTGACTCATACGTACTTGATAATTCCATGCCTTCCTATTTTCAACACATGCTTGACTTTGTCTAACATGTCACACAAACTACTTCCTTACACACTTAGTTTCATCTCTCCATATTATTTCTTTTATTAGCAGAGCTGAATATTCTTTTTTTTAAATTGAGGCATAATTGGCATAAAGCATTATATTAGTTTCAGGATTATAATGTAATGATTCGATATTTGTATATATTGTAAAATGATCACCACAATAAGTCTAGTTCACATCTCACTGTATGTCGTTAGGAAACTTTTTTCTTATGACAGAACTTTAAGGATTTATTCTCATAGCCACTTTCAAATATGTAATATATTACTAACTATAGTCACCATGCTGTATATTACATCCCCATGACTTAGGCATTTTATAACTGGAAGATTGCTCCCTTCAACCTCCTTCAACACTTTCAATCACTTTATACACACCCCACCTCTGGCAACCACCGATCTTTATATCTGTAAGCTGGGCCTTATTTATTTATTTGGATTTCACATATAAATGAGATCATACAGTATTTGTCTTTCGCTCTCTAACCAACTTATTTCACTTAGCATAAAGCCCTCAATGTCCATCCACATTGCAAATGGGAAGATTTAATTTTTTAATTTTTTTTTTAAAGATTTTTATTTATTTTTGACAGAGAGAGAGAGACAGTGAGAGGGAACACAAGCAGGGCGAGTGGGAGAGGGAGAACCCCGCGGAGCAGGGAGCCTGATGCAGGGCTCGATCCCAGGACCCTGGGATCACTACCTGAGCTGAAGGCAGATGCTAAACGGCTGAGCCACCCAGGCGCCCCTAATTTTTAAATTTTTTATGACTGAATAATAGTGGTTTGTTTGCGTGTGTGTGTGTATTTACCACATCTTTTTTGTGCATTCATTCATCGATGAACACTTAAGTTGTTTCCCTATGTTGGCTATCGTAAGTAATGCTGCAATGAACATAGGGGTTCAGATATCTTTTCTAGTTAGCATTTTTGTTTTCTTCATAAAATACCAAGAAGTGGAATAGCAGGATCCTATGGTAGTTCTATTTTTAATTTTTTTGAGGTAACTCTATATAGTTCCTCATAGAGACTGCACCCAATTTACATTCCTACCAACAGTGCATGAGAGTTCCCTTTTCTCCACATCCTAGCCAACACTTATTATTTCTTGTTTTTTGACGTAGTATCTCACTTGTTTTTGTTTTGATTTGCATTTCCCTTTCCCTGATGATTACTGATGTTGACCATCTGTGTGTCTTCTTCGGAAAAATGTCTATTCAGATCTTATGTCCATTTTTTAAATTGTTTTTTTCATTTTGTTTTTGTAGTTGTTTGTTTTGTTTTTTTGCTCTTGAGTTGCCAGAGTTCTTTACATATTTGTGTATTGACCCCTTATCAGATATATAATTTGCAGTATTTTCTCCCTTTCTATAGGTTGCCTTCTGATGGTTTCCTTTGCTGTGCAGAAGGTTTTTAGTTTGATGTAGTTCCACTTGTTTGTTTTTCCTTTTGTTGCCTTCACTTGTGATGTCAGATCCAAAAAATCATCGCCAAGACTTATGTCATGGAGCTTTCCGCCTATGTCTCCTTCTAAGAGTTTTATGGTTTCAGGTCTTACATTCAAATCTGTAATCCATTTTGAGTTGATTTTTGTGTACGTTTTAAGATAATGGTCCAGTTTCATTCTTTTGCCTGTGGTCGTTCATTTTCCTCAACACCATTTATAAAGAGAGTGCCCTTTATTGTGTATTTTTGTTTCTTTTGTTGTAAAGCAATTGACCATGTATGCGTGGGTTTATTTCTTGGATATCTATTCTGCTTTATTGATCTATATGTTTGTTTTTATGCCAATACCATACTGTTTTGGTCACTCTAGCTTTGTAACATACTTTGAAATCAGCAAGCATGATGCTTCCAGCTTTGTTTTTCTCAGGATTTCTTTAGTTACTCTAGATAATGTTAGGATTATTTATTCTATTTCTGTGGAAAATGCCATTGTAATTTTGATAGGAATTGCATTGAATATGTAGATTGCTTTGGGTAGTATGAACATTTTAACAATATTCTCCCAATCCATGAGCATGGACTCTCTTTCCCTTTGTGTTACCTTCAGTTTCTTTCTTTAATGTCTTATAGTTTTTACTGTATAGATCGTTCACCTCCTTGCTTAAATTTATTCCTGGTTATTTTACTCTTTTTTTTTTTTTTTGCTTATCAAAAGACATTTAATACAATTAGTTTTCAACAACCCCTTGGTGGTCCACATCTACAAAGATATCCAGCCCAACCCAAACCCCCCTCCAAACCCCACCCCCCCACAGAAAAGCACATTCTTACCAGAATTTTTAGCAAGTATGGTTTGGGAATTTGTTTTTTAAAAAAAGGCCCCCAGGGCAAGTTATTTACAGTTTAATTGCCACTGTCAACTGATGTGGACCTTGACCGGGATCGGGACCTGGACCTCTGGCGATCCACAGATGCTGGAGACTTAGATCTACTTGAAGAACCACGTTTCTGGCTCTTCTCAGGCACAGGAGACCTACTAACAGAACGAGATTTGCTCCGGCTCCTGCTCGTGCTCCTAGACCGGCTGTAAGACTTGCGACTCCGGAAACGAGACCGGCTACGAGACCTAGAGGAACTCCTGGTCCTGGAACGAGACCTGCTTCGTGACCTACTGTGCCTTTTGCTGCCTTCGATTAATTTGATTTTTCTCCCATTTATTTCCTTTCCGGAAAGTTTTTCAATAGCATTCTTTAAATCACCATAAGAGGCAAACTCAACCACCCCTTCATTTAATTTAGGTCGATGTGCATCCGCAAAGGTTACTTCCCCAGCTTGTCTCATGAAATCTTTGAGATCCTGCCAGCTGACTCTTGAAGATAAATTCTCAACTATAAGCCGATTTTCTGTTCTTATAGGTGGAGCATTTCGTCTATCATTTCGAGGTCTGCAACTACTAAAACGGTCAGAATAGCGTCCTCTACCTCGTCCACCTCGAGACCGAGCCCTAGCATGTTCAATAGTAACCCTTTCACTGCACAGTTCTTTTCCATCGAGTTCATATACAGCATCATCTGCATCCCTGGGATCCTCAAATTCCACAAAACCAAAACCTCTTTTCAGATCAATATCTCTTATTCGTCCATACCCCTTGAAGAATCTTTCCACGTCTTTTTCCCTGGCCGCCGGATTTAGCCTCCCGATGAATACTCGACAACCACTCATGGTGGCAGGCTAGTATTTCCTACCGGACAGAATCTTTGGCAGCTGAGACCAGAGAGGTCCGTAGTCTGCGACGGAGCCGTCTGCCTCCCCGCAGACCAAGACTAAAGTCTACGCCTCTCCACAACTGATGCACTTAGCTGCTCCTGCGTTTCACAAAATGCTATTTTACTCTTTTTGATGTAATTGTAAATAAGATTGTCTTAATTTCTGTTATTAGTGTATAGAATCACAACTGCAATTTTGCATATGCATTTTGTATCCTGCAATTAACTGAATTCATTTATTGTTCCTAATAGCTTTTTGGTGGAGTCTTTAGGACTTCTATATAGTATCATGTCATCTGCAAATAGTGACAGTTTAACTTCTTCCTTACCAATTTGGACGCCTTTTATTTCCTTTTTCTTGCCTAATTGTTGTGGCCAGGTCTTCCAATACTATGTTGAATAAAAGTAGTGAGAGTGGACATTCTTGTATTGCTCTTGATCTCAGAGTAAAAGCTTTCAGCTTTTTATTATTGAGTATAATGTTAGCTGTGCTGTTGTCACGAACGGCCTTTGTTATGCTGAGGTACGTTCCCTCTGTATTCACTTTGTTGAGAGCTTTTATCATTAATGGATGTTGAATTTTGCCATATGCTTTTTCGGCATCTATTGGGATGATCGTATGATTATTCTTCATTTTGTTAATGTACTGTGGTGTATCACATTGCTTGATTTGCAAAGTTGAATCATTCTTGCATCCTTGGAATAAATCCCACTTGTTTATGATGTATGATTCTTGAATGTATTTTTGAATTTGGTTTGCTAATATTTTGTTGAGGATTTTGAATTTATGTTCATCAGACATTTGGGCCTATATTTTGTTTTCTTGTGGCCTCCTTTTCTGGTTTTGGTATCAGGGTAATGCTGGCTTTGTAAGAATGAAGCTGAAAGTGTTCTTCTGTTTTTGGAAGAGTTTGAGAAGGATTGGTACTAATTCTTCTTGGAGTGTTTGCTAGAATTTACCAGTGAAGCTGTCTTGTACTGGGCTTCTGTTTGTTGGGAGGTTTTTGATTACTGCTTTATTCTTCTTACTAGTAATCAGTCTGTTCAGATTTTCTCTTTCATCATGATTCAGTCCTGGTAGGTTGTATATGCCTAGGAGTTTATCCACTTCTTCTAGTTTTGCCCAATTTGTTGGCATATAATTGTTCATAGGAGTCTCATGATCCTTTGTATTTCTGTGGCATCAGTTGTAATGCCTTCTCTCTCATTCTCATTTTGAGTTCTTTCTTTTTCTTGGTTAGTCTAGCTAAAAGTTTAATTTTTCTCTCTTCAAAGTACCAGCCCTTATTAGCATTGATTTTTTTCTATTTTCCTTTTCTTTCTTTTTTCATTTATTTGCACTCTGATCTTTGTTATTTTCTTTCTTCTACTAACTTTGGGCTTTGTTTTTTTAGTTCTTTGAGATGTAATGTTAGGTTGTATCTTTGAGATATTTTTCTCTTGATGTAGACATTTGTTGATATGAACTTCCTCTTAGAACTTCTTTTGTTGCATCACATACATTTTGGTATGCTTTATTTCCATTTTCATTTGTTTTAAGGTATTTTTTTTTATTTCTCTTTTTGATTTCTTCTTTGATGCATACGTTGTTCAGTGGTATGTTGTTTAATCTCCACATATTTGTAAATGTTCTACTTTCCTTCTTATAACTGATTTCTGGTTTTATACCATTGTGGTCAGAAAAGATATTGATATGATTTCAATCTTTTAAATTTATTAAGACTTGTTTTGTGGCTTAACATATGATCTATTCTAGAGAATGTTCCATGTGCACTTGAGAAGGACGTGTATTGTGTTTCTTTTGGATGGAATGTTCTGTATATATCAGCTAAGTCCATCTGTTCTAACATGTTGTTTAAAGCCAATGTTTCCTTATTGATTTTCTGTTGGGATGATCTATTCATTGATGCAAATGGAGTTTTAAAATCCCCTACTTTATTATATTGGTGTCTCTTTCCCTCTTTAAGTCTGTTAAAATTTGCTTTATATTTTTAGATGTTCTTATATTGGGTGCATAAATACTTACAAATGTTATATCCTTTTGTTGGATTGACCCCTTTATCATATAATGTCCTTTGTCATTTATTACAGTCTTCACCTTAAAGTCTATTTTGTTTATTATAAGTACAGCTACTTCAGCTTTCTTTTGGTTTCCATTTGCATGAAATATCCTTTTAAATCCCTTCATTTTTAGTCTCTGTGTGTCCTTATGGAAGTGAATTTTTCATAGGCAGCCTGCATCTGGGTCTTGTTTTCCTTTATTAAATCCACTCAGTCACTATGTCTTATGATAATAAAATTTACTCCATTTACATTTGAAGTATTTACTGATAGATATGTACTTTTGCCATTTTCTTCATTGTTTCCTGGCTATTTTGTAGTTCTTCTCTATATCTTCTTCTCTTGCCTTCTTCCATTGTGAATTGATAACTTTCAGAATGGTATGTTTAGATTTCTAGGGCACGTACTGAACGGAGCACTGGATGTTATACGTAAACAAGGAATCATGGAACACTACATCAAAAACTAATGATGTAATGTATGGTGATTAACATTACATAATAAAATAAAAAAAAAGATTTCTTCCCCCCTTTTTTTTTGTATCTACTAGAGGTTTTTGTGGTTATCCTGATGCTTACATAGAAAAATTTATAACAGTTTAAGTTGATAAGAACTTAAGTTTCAATGCATCTTTAAAGCTCCACATTTTTGTTTTTTGCCATCACATTTTACATTTTTTGAATCTCTTGTGCCCCTTATTAGTTATTAGTTATTTTTACTGTTATCTTTTAACATTTATACTAGCTTTAGTAGTGATTATTCCATTGCCTTTACTATATATTTATGTATATCTGTATGATTTATACTTTTATATATTTTCATTTTAAAGAACTCCCTCTCGAATTTTTTATAAGGCCAGTTTAGTGGTGATGAACTCCTTTAGCTTTTTTATTTGTCTGGAAAATTCTGTATCTTCTCTGATTTTGCTTTTGGATAGAGTATTCTTGGCTGGGATTTTTTTTTTTTTTCCTTTGAGCATTTTGAATATATTGTGCCACTCTCTTTTGGCCTGTAAAGTTTCTGCTGAAAATTCTGATAACCGTATGGGGGGTTCCCTTGTGTGTAACAAGTAGTTTTTTTCTTTCTGCTTTTAAGGTTCTCTCCTTGTCTTAAACTCTTTAACGTTTAACTGTAATGTGTCTCAGTGAGGCTCTCCTTGGGTTCATCTTATTTGGAATTTTATGGGCTTCCTGGATCAGAATGTCTATTTTCTTCTGTAGGTTAGGGAAGTTTTAAGTCTTTATTTCTTTAAAGAAGTTTTCCGTCCCTTTCTCTCTCCTTTCCTCTGGACCACCCTTAATGCAAATGTTAGCCTACTGGATGTTGTCCCTTAAGCCCTTTAAGCTATCTTCACATTTTTTTTTTTTCTTTTTGCTGTTCTGATTGGGTGAGTTCCTCTGCCATGTCTTGGAATTCATTGATCCTTCTGTTTGATCATGTTGTCTAGTCTTCTGCTGAACCCCTCTCATGTACTTTTGGTACAGCTATTGATTCTTCAGCTCTGTAACTTCTGTTTGATACTTATATCTTCTGTTTGTTGAAGTTCACAGTGTTCATTCTTCTTCTGGGTCTTTTGAGTATGTTGATGATAATTTCTTTGAACTCTATTAGGTAAATTACATTTTATTAAGGTTTTTTTTTCTGAAGTTTTGCTATTTTAATTTGGAATATATTCTTTCGTTTCTTCATTTTATCTGACTCTCTGTGGTAGTTTCTATGTATTAGATGAAATAGTCTTGAAAGAGTTTCCTCCTCTTTGAGGAGGTCTGAGAGACCCTCAGGCAGCAGATTTGAAGTATGAAAATATATACAGTCTTGTGGAACTGCAAACGTATGCCCTGCTGGCCACTAGGGCCAGGTACTCTAGGTGTCCCCCGAGCAGCAGTCACCAAACCTCCAGATGAATTTTAACATAGTTCTAGTGGCCTGCTAAGATAACCTCCAGGGACAGAAACTGACAGGTGCCATCTTTGTGTCCTCTGCCTTGCTCCAGCCAACAGGCACCAATTTCAAGCTCCTTGCCATGCTCCTGAGTGCCAGAAGCTCCCAGAGGGGAGCTTTTACACACATCTGGTGCCCTGATTTCTGCAGCTGCTGCCCAGGAAACACCCTTTGATTACCTGGCTCTAGTGTCCAGGGGAGCTTATGTTCCTGGATCCCATAGGACCAAAACAATCGGGAGATGGTTCTTGACAGATTACCACTCCCAGAGCATTGCACAGACAACAGACTGAAACAAAATCCAGTTCATCTAAGAGGCCGATTTGCTTGTCCAGGAGCTTTGGCCTGAGGGACAGGCTTTAGGTTTGGCACACATCCAAGAGCCTATGGAGGTGTTCTCAAGGAACATGCTAATGGAGGTCATCTTTGAGCTCTCCCTCTGCCTCTACTTCAGTTATAGATATAAATGTTGTGTAGCTCCAACACTGATAATGGGTTAAAAGATTGACAGATTATTGCAAATGCACAAATCCAACACAAATATCTAGTACTTTCACAGTGCATTTTCAGGGATAACCAATTTTCTATAGCCTCATTTTTTCCCCTGAAATGATAGCCCCTTTACCTCTTTGTTCCTGAGAATCAAAAGCTATATAGATTTTTTTTCTTTATGCACTTGTCAGCAACAATAAGCATTAACCCATTTTGAGATGTTGTAGATTCTCTAACATGTTAACCCCTTTGCAGATGCTATAGATTTTCAAACTTAAGGTATGAACAACAACTATAGTTTGTGTGATGGTTAAGATAGTTTGGAATGAAAATGTGCCTCTCTACCAAATGGTGTAGTTTTTCTATGGAATAAAGCATACATATTTACCAATGCACAGTTATAGGTATTCAAACATTTTCCCTCCTTGAACACATATGTCACACATTTAATACATTCCCAAAAATGTCCCACTCCCATCTTAGCACACATGAGCATGCACACATACATCCAAACCCATTTTTCTTATTAAAAAATCTGTTCTTTAAAGAAAGTATTTTCTTTGCTATAGGGTATTTTTAATATAACTTACTTTTGCATATGTCTTGTCT